GAGAGAGAGAGAGAGCAGACCAGACTGAACCGAAACCGAACGTCGTCTGGCTTATGCTGGGTAAAAGCGGCGGAAAAAGTAAAAAGCAAGAGGTGCTCGCCCGCTCGCTCGAGCTTGTTTGTTTGCTTGCTTGTTTGTTTGCTTGCTTGTTTGCTTGTCTGCTTGTCTGCTTGTCTGCTTGTTTATTTGCTTGTCTGCTTGTTTGTTTGCTTGTCTGCTTGTTTGCTTGTTTGCTTGTTTGCTTGTTTGCTTGTTTGCTTGTTTGCTTGTTTGCTTGTTTGCTTGTTTGTATTCAGGGAGGGACAAAGAAAGGCAGGCCCCTGTTTGTTGATATGAAAAGAGAGAGAGAGAGAGGTGTGCAGCTAGTTGATTGGTTGAAGCATCGATGAGTATAAATGAACCTCGGATTTAGATAGTGCCATAAACGCTGCAAGAAAAGACTTGGTGCGATGACTAACTCATGATAAGAGGAATAGCAGGTCTGGTTACATTTACCCACTTGGATAGATGCCAGGCACGACTTCGCTAATTTGCCCGCCCTCTCTCGAGATGCAAAGCGTGATGAGAAGGAATGTGTGGATTAATCAATTGCTCGATTCAGATCACCAAGAGGCCACCTCCGAAGTTTTCTCACTCCTCCATCCGCCACCTCATCACCACGGTAACTTCCCTCTTCAAGCCAAGAGAGCTGGAGCCTCGTTCCCCATCCCTCCCTCACTCCTCTTCCATCCGATGGTTAGATCCCAAATTCCGGAAGGCCTCCAAACGAACACGCTCTCTCCAAGAAAACACATCCCAGGCAGTATCATAAAAGCTTCTCTCGTCCCCGGCAATCTCGTTTTATTCGGACGCTCGCTTGCTCATGTCTCATTATCGTCAATCGCAAGCCAAATAGACATACAAAGGTAAATGCTTATGCCATTACACTCCTTGCTTCATCTTTTTCTTCCCCCTCTTGCGTCCTGATCTATCTCTCAGTGAGGACCATTCCACAGGTGTCGCCGAAACCGACGGTCATACCGTCAGCCTCAGCGCCGCCAGCTTCGCCTGCATTGATCTCAGCACTTCGGGGTCCGGCTCCGGATCGATTCTCACGGGGGGCGCTCGTGGACACGCAGAGCACATGGGGTGTTTGCATCGTATACACTGCGGCGGTTCTATTTTACCCTCTTTCCGAGCGATGCCTTCAGCGCTGTCGGGGTGCGGTACGGCGGGGAAGACCTTGGTGCATTTGTGGCACCTGTATTTGACCGGGAGCGATGTATCAGAGGAAGGTGCATCGCCGGGATAGCCGTCGGGGTAGTGAGACCTTTTGGCTCTGAGGATTGTTAGCTAATTTTACCTATCACTCATGTCGGAAGGGGGAGAGCATACGGGTCCCGGGGACAGTCAACACATCGGAGGTGGTCGCAGTTTGGACATATCTTGCATCCACCTGGGAAGAAGGTGCCGCACTTGTGACAGTTCCGGCGGACTCTCTGCTTGGGTTTCTTCCTCACAAGGGGTTGTGCCCCAGGTCTGGGACTTGGTCTCGTCAACAGGATCTGCTCGCGCAGGCCCCAGTATGTGTCGGGCTCAATATAAACCACAATGGATGGCGTGACGTTCTCCTTTCTCTGGGCCTTCTCCCGTTTTGCCTTGTCCGTTTTCTTCGGCGGGTATCTTGGGCACGACTTGCATCGAGTATGCTGGCATTGGGAACAGACTTTGTTTACTCCGAAGGTAGTTTCACACTGGTGACAAGATCTGTGGACGCGCATCCGAATTGGCTTCTCGACGCGACATATCTCCCGGTCACAGGCGGACGGCAACGGCTCGATGGTGACGGCGAATTTCTCTCTTATTTTCATCGCACGGTCGGCCTCGATTTGCGAGCGCATCATCCTGGTGGGCTGTGGTCCTTTTGGGATATCCTCGACGGGGGCTGGGTCGGCGACGGGGGCTGGGACCTTGGTGTCAGGAGTTGAGGCCTCGACGACAGGAGTAGGCTCGTCCGGTTGGGCGACGACGCTGTGAGGTTAGCATGTTTGTCGTACTGTTTCCGAGACGAGGGCATACCTGGGTCCCTCGGTTGCGACCACGGCCGGCTTGCCGGAAAACGACAAACGTCCCGACCCATCGCGTCTCTTTAACACAGTCTTCAATCTCAAGACGATCTTGCTCAAGCCTCTCTTGCTTCCGCCCGGGACGGCAGGTCCATCTGCTGCTGGTGCACTCATTATTTTCGCGTCGTCAAGATCAATTCCAGAGCTGAGTAGAAGCGGGTAGGTCGATCGTCCTCTTTATCGCTCGAATCGCTCCTTCAGCAAAATCAAATCCCGTCACGAAGGTTTTCCCGGGTCTCCGGCGTTTGGACTGCGGTCTGCACAAAGTTTCCAGGGTGTGTTCCGCAGGCTGCTTGGTAAATTATAAATTATTGATATGCTCAATGATGTCGAAGCGCCGAGGGAAGTTCCTTGCTGATGGGTTCGAGCCTAGATATACTACTACTACTACGTAGTATATATGTACGACTAGGTAGGTATCTCGCGGGTATGGAGCGGCTGCTGATTCCTGGCGCTGAATAATTCCATAAAGAAGGTTTTCCGTTCGACGAGGGGATCCTGTACCACGATCCTGGGATGTTGAAGGATGAGCTGGGGCGAGCTGATTGGAGATGGTTTTCGGGTAGCGAGACAGGCTCGGGGAGGGGTGGGGGGGAGTGGAGGCGGAATGGGGGGGGGGGGTTCTTGGGCTTGACAGGATTGTGGATGTGGATGCAGTTGGGGATGGGCCAAGCTCGCAAGGGTTGGTTGGCACAGGCGGTCTGTCGCTGCAAACGTCGCAATTTAATGCATGGCGGGCTTTGCACGGCGCGGGACTGGGACTGGGACAGGGACACTGACAGCGAAGCAGTGTACGACGGTCAGGTGGCCACGACGGCGAGGAGGAGAGGAGGAGGAGAGGAGGAGATGGGAGCGATGGAAGAAGAGGAGGGGAAATTGAGGGAAAATTGAGGGATGGAGATGATGGAGATCATGGACGGGAGGAACTGAAGAGAAGAGACTTCTATTTTCTCGCCTGCTCCAAGTAGCGCCAGAGTACTACGACTAACTACTCTAGGAGAAGGGACATGGTCACATGAACATATACATATATAGGAGCACTCAATGGAACCACTGCCACCGCAGGATCGGGATTTTAAATCCACTGCGATGGATTGGGAAGCGAGAGGAAAAGTTGAAGATGGTACGTACTCTGTACAGGTAAGTAGGAAGTAAATCATTATTCCTCGTGGACTCACTGCATCCGTACAGGACCAACGGCACCTCTGGAAGAATCTCGCTTCGGTTTGTTTACTACGTCCCAGGCGTTAGTAGTATTACCCCCTGAGGATACGTAGTATATCCCAGTCCCAGCACCGGTTGTGGCATCACCGCATCAGCCAGCATCCCCCACTAGGATCTCCACTACGCAATCAAATCTCGACTCTCACCCACGCTCACCACCCGCACGCCGGGATCTGTACCTGGACCTGGCTGGGTCTGCACATGCATCAGTCTTGGAACGTCGGAGCTCCCCGCCCGCATATCAAGCAGGTGGAGCGAAAGGTGGCTCGGTATTTAGGGTTGAGAAGGAGTCAGAAGATCGTACGTCGGCAAGATTTCGTGACTCCGTGTCTGGTCTGGCTAAGGGCGACGGGTAGGGACGAGTGCCGGCAATATAGCGGTCCGCTATAGACAGGGTCCACAACACTCCTTGCGACCGTATGGCATGGCATGGCATGGCATGGCATAAATCGACTTCTACTCGTATTTCTAAGTACTAAGTACCGCTACTTCCATTACCATTCCAAATCCCGGAGGAGCGAACTTTACATCCCAAAATCTTGGGAATACCGAATGCTTCGAATTTCCACCGTCGTGGCCATGGGACATGCTCCCTGCAGAATCCTCAAAAAGACTTTCACCCTGCAGGGCTCGGGAGGAGGACCCGTGGGGCATCGCTCACTGGTCTCGCCTACGGACGAACTGACAAGCCCATCTCGATGCTGGAGACGGATTCGCGAGAAGGAAACGATGGGTAGGTAGGTAGGTAGGTAGGTAGGTAGGTAGGTAGGTAGGTACCGGTAGGTAAGTAAGGGTAGGTTATGATGGCAGGAGGGTTTGCTCTCGTTTTAGTCCTCAGCATCGTGGCTACGGCTACCTTTCCACTCACAGTGCTTTACAAGCCTTTCTATGGGTTCAGGGCATAACTTACCAGTCTCTTTCAAAATCTTATCCTTTCCCGTAACCCGTTTCACTCGTCGTCCTTAGCATCTACTACGTACAATCACTACCGGTAGTAGTACTACGTACGTCTAGCCTCCTGCCGCCTGCAAGCCACCAGTTACTACTACCAGTCACCAAGATTCCCTGCGGCTGATCTCCTGATGCGGTAACAATAGTCGAGATCCCCGTCTAGACGCAAGAGTTGGCAAGCACGCCACGCCGGAACACCGGGTCTTTCGTTGACCGAGATCTAGGCTTGGTGCCACAGCAGCTCTCTCTTATCTCAACTTGCAAGAAAAGCGCTTCTGCCACGAGCTATCTTTGCTCCGGTGCTCCGGGCGGAGTCCTGTATCAAATGTCCACGCGGGCATGTTGACAGGCGGACAGCCGAGCCGGCGCTTCGTCCTCTTTGCAGTACGGGCGAAGATCATGTACAGAGTACACACAAATTGCTACCACTACCACTACCACTACCACTACAACTACCAGAGGTTGGCCGTGTCGTTAAAGTGGCGTAGGGGGAGAGAGTCAGTCCCGAGAGCCATGTTCCGTGCAGCAAGTGTCTAAAGGGACGGGTACATACAGGTACCACCACCACCACACCGGCCGGCACTGGCGCTCGGGAACATCGACTCAGCCCAAACGAGAGCGCCACAATCGCACCACGCTTGCATAGATGTCGTACTCCGTATACGGAACGAAAGAAGCACGAAATCGGTATTGAACGAGACACCCGGCCAGCATAGCAAAGCATTGATAAGACGTCATAGTCATAGTTATAATTATAGTCAGTTATAATTACAATTATAGTCATAGTCATAGTTAGTTATAGTTATAGTTATAGTTATAGTCACCGTCAGTTATAATTATTACGTATAATTATAGTCACAGCTATAGTTAGTTATAGTTATAGTTAGTTATGGTCGTAGTCAGTTATAGTCACAGTCACAGTCACAGTCACAGTCACTGACCACGCAGCGCCCTGTAATCAATATACTCCCGTAATATACTCCGATCCGTGAAAGTACGAATACTAGTACGAATACGAGGCACGGTCCCTGCCATCTACTACGGTATCTTATGAACCGGCCAAGAGAAACGCGTTGGTCACGAGTGCCGAGCTCAGACAACCAAATTGTTGTCCTCAGGCTCCGTACAACGACTTGTACGACTTTTATACCTACTGTACCGTATTGCTATACTCCGTACAGAATACTGGTTCGACTACGATGCAAATACCGGCCGACTTCGAACATCGCCGATTTGTCCTACCGCCGGCGGTGTACTTGGTAAAGTACAAGTACAACTCAAGACAGTGTCCGACACCTGATAGATAGTATTGCGATTCGCGAGACGGTTAGAAGAAATGAAAAATAGAGAAGAAGAAGAAAAAGGATCCCGAAATCATCACCGGTATCTCGTATCCGTATCCAAATCCAAATTCAAAAGGATCTTCTTCAAGATACAATTACTATATCCCGCCAACTCTCCAAAAACAACAACGCAAAAGCCAGCGCCAGCGCCTCCGAACCTATCCCCCTGGACTTCAACCGGACTCCACACAGCCCAGTCTTACAGCTACCACCACAGTACAGGCCCAGGTGTCACAGCCTGAGGGTACCATTAAAGTCTTAATCTCCACTTTAGTACAACTACTACTCCTACCTACTACGGTACTACCTTTCAGTTCGAAAATTCAGTTCAAATTACACAAACCAAAATCAAGGCCGGGCCAAGCTGCTCGGTCCGCTTGACCACCCAACTGCCGCCGCCCTCGTTTTCCTAAATTCAAAGGCCGTTATACAACTAGTAGTAGTTATGCTACTATTAGTACTTGTTATACTAGCAGTATTACAATCGAAGTACCCGGTTTGGCCGGGGCGCCGCAGAACCACAACTACACTACACTACGACTAGAAGTGGTTGACGCAGGTGTTCGGTAAACCAAACGCCTGGTGGTGAACCTCACAATCTCCACGTCTGAAAAAGCGCCGTCGCGTTGCCCGACGCGCGGTCTCTCGGAAGAAGAGAGAGAGATGTTCAAATCCCGATCGATATCACGGCGGAGGGACCCCTGTTTGCGAATCCGGTTTAAAACTGTACTTGGTTTTCTTTTTTAGTCTTTCTTACAGACTAGCGGTCGATCAGGGAGTGCGGCAGAAGTTACCTACAGTACTTTACCTCTGATTTTCCGAAACCCCTTTCCAGGCAGGCCTGTACTCTTTACGCTGGAGACAAACAAGCCTTGCTTGCGCGTCTTCGGATCAGCCGAACGAGCCGACGGATGTGTTTGATGTAGAGTGTTCTATTCGAGTGCCGTCCGTCTTTCAACATCTTCTCCCTACTCACATATGTAAATCGAGCAAAACATAGAAAAAAATAGAAAAAAATAGAAAAAAAATATATAAAAAAATATATATATATATATGAAAGAGATTACATTAAAATCTCCGCAGCAAGAGGTATTCTTTCCTTGCATTGCATTGTACTCCAGCTTTGCGAAGTCAACCTTACCTCTCTCCCTTATCTACAGTACCTATCCGCAAATATAGTAGTAGTATTACTACGAACTTGTCAAGGACGGAGCTACTTCCGGTCTACTACTAGAAGTATATACAACACCTATCTTCTTGTCGTACCAAGTAAAGTAGAAGTAGATAAGCCCTACAGTACCAAGTACTACTACTACTAATCCGTACCCCCCCTCGCCGACGTGCAAGTAATAAAAGATAAAAGCTCAAGCCATCCTGCGACATCACCACCTGCTCCGAAGCATCCGAATAATCTACCGGCCTCCCACAGTCCAGTCCCTCCCGCCCCCTGAGCATAAGCAAGACCGTACGGAGGAGTAGAGGTAGGTAGGTAAGGGCAATCAGTACCGATGTTTTTGCACTTTCGCACTGGAAAGGTGGTGGGGGCAAGTATGTAGTTGATGAGATAGCCAGCCAAACGACGCAGTACGTAGATTAGTAGACATGACTGTTTCGTCCTCTTTTGTTCCCTTTTCGTTCTCCTCTGGGCCATTTTGATAAGGAGAAGTCTAAAACAGATTGGAAGTTTTACCAAAATTCTCCGGACGAAGGAGACGGGCCGGATGGCCAAAAAGTCTCTCTGCTGGCCTTTCTCCGTCGTCGTCGTTCTGCTTGATTGATAAGTGATAGTGTAAAGTTGACGAATTCCGTCCGCGTCTGGATCATCGGAATTTAAAAACGGACGATGGCTCGCTTTCGCTTTCTGGGGGGGAGTGGGTGGGGGATGGGGGGGGGGGGGTTTGTTTACGGATGTACGGCGTTTAAGCAATTCCCCCTGTTTTGACCCACTACGCAGCCTAGCTCAATCGAGCAATACCTTTACTGTCCTTCGCTTCGTGTCGCTGAACGCGAGCATGTAATAGGTATAAATCCGATAAGAAAAGAAAAAAAAAAGAAGAAAAAAAACCAGATTGATTCTCCGTGATATGTGGTGACTTTCTGTGCAGCCACGATTACAGCCCGACAACGCTCTGGCATACTCTCTCATCACGCGCTTGAAATGCAAGTTCGCTGAGCTTTCCCTTAGCGGCACGAAGCGAGCGAAAGTGGGTCAAAACAGGGGGAATTACTTAAACGCTGTAACTCCTTTTCTTTTTGCTTTTCCCTCTTGATGCCTAACCCATCCACCACGAACGGAGGAGCGGACGGATGTGAGTTCAATTTTCTCCCTACAATCGGGTCTCTGGGCTCTGCTACTGTACATGCCCCTTCTTTCTCATCGCTGCTTCCTTTTGCTTTTGCTTGTTCGGTTTCGGTTTCGGTTTTGGTTTCGGTCTCGGTATTTCTGTTTGTTCCGTCCTGCTTGGGTACCGGTACTTTTGACAGATTCGTTCCCTTTTTGCTTTTTTCCATTTTTGGTTCTTCTTTTTTCATCCGTTCAGTAGTGGGCGTTGCAAGAGAGAGGACACAGAATCAAAAGAACCGGTAATCACGAGACGAGAGCTAAGATGATAAAGTTAGCGGTATGGGTTTCGACATCCACTGTGCATCGTCAACTCTCCTTTGTACCCCGAGAGGTTGGGGGCTGACTGGCTGGCGTTTTATCTAACTGTTTCGTGGAGAATATATATATATATATATATATACGTTTGGAAATACTCACCTCTTGCAAACCCAAGGGTACAATTAACGCAATATAACAAATACAGTTGTTGCCTCTCCGCCTTGCCCGGGATACTTCGGAGAAGCATTAATAGAATCTTTCTCGTTGTTTTGTATACGTCGGTTCCTGCCGGGTTGGGCTGGGTGTGGTATAGTATGGTATAGTATTTCTATGAATCAAAATATGCCTCCTCTCCATCTTGAACAATAGAAGCCGTTCATTCTTACCCCAGCGACCCCGCTTGCTCTTCTTCTTGCTTCCTTGCTCTATAGCTGCGCTGCTAGGCTGCTAGGCTGCTAGGCTGCTGGGCTGCTGGGCTGCTGTGCTTCACCGCGGATCAGTTTATCCTCTTACTCGCATCAAGAACGCAAGAGGTTAACAGCTAAACAGACATCGATAACAGTAATCCCCGCTCATTATTCACCCACCACTTGACGCCAGAGAATATTTCTTTGACAGCCAACCAAGGCACCACCAAAGCGGAAAAGAGCCGAGATGCTAGTAACCGGGCCCGATATTCATCTCTGACACCCATATGTCATACCCATAGCTGACGGCGCTCTACTTCCTCAACTGCGATGGCTAAGGAGCTTCTTCCATGTACTAGCCATCTGCGCCTCCGACTTCCACTTCCTCATTTGGCAGGTTGTGGATGAATGAAATCAGCAGCTTCGTTTACTGCGGCGGGGCAATATTTGTTTACAACCTGACTTGACTTGGGGGCCTCCGAGGTCCGGGATGAGTGTCGACTGGCATGCAGCTAGCTGATAAGGTACCGTTATACTATGCGTGGAATCCCAGTAGCCCGACAGGCTTTTTTCAGTACTGCCCTTCGAATGGCCAGGAGCTGAGGCGGGTACGCGTGGATAGGAAGAGGTTAGAGGCGTGGGAATTCCAATATGCCGGCCCCCTACCACTCACTGATCGAGTCCGCAAGACGCTGATATCTCACGCTACGGTAACCCAAAAAAAAAACCAAAAATATGGATTGTTGGCGGAGAACCTATGAGGGGGTATTGATCTGGCTACGCCTATTCCATTCCATTCCGCTGAGAATACCACTGTCTCTGATAGACTCCGGGAAAGGACCGGAGGATTAGGATTTGGAATCCGTTGGTTCTGCGGCCTTTATTCAAGCCGGCCTCCGGCCTTTCGGTGGGTTTCTATCTGTCATATGAAGGCTTTTGGTGAGCGCTGGGTGAGGCCACCTTCTATAGATAGATCAGTTGTTTCATTTCAGTACGAGATTTTAGATGGGCTATTTGGCGCTGGATCGGGGGTATATATATATTCCACAGCCTCAACTTCGCCTCAACGCTGGCTTTATATGCTGGGAGCCATCCTCCCCGCCTGGGCGTGGGCAATCCATCTATCCATCTATCCATCTTCTGCGGGTCATAGTAAATAAAGACTTCTCAATGGAACGAAAACGCATGGGGTTCCTCTTCACCCTCTACTACTTACTAGTGGCCTGTGGCGTTCGAGATCAGGCTTTCTCTGTTGATCCTCGTCGTCAAGTCATTGTGAGTGGCTTCCATCTCCGTATAGCGATCGAGAAATGATTGAAGGTTTGTCCCGCCCTGTTGACTGGTCGAAGCAACGATACTCTCCAAGTGGGCAACACGCCTTTGTAGCTGCTGATTATGCCCGCTGAGAACTTGAATTATGGGACCTCTCTGACAGCTCCTGGTCTTTCTGGTTGCAGGCGCCCTTCAGGTCATTCATGTTGATACTCGCGACCTGGCCTTGCAAGCTCATACTCCTGGCTTGCTCTTCCAGTGTCGTGACTTGAGTCTTCAAATTACCCGCCTCTCCTTTCGCCTGGCTCAGCTGATCCGGAAACCTCCAAACTTGACTGTGAAGAAGTCTCTCTTCGTTTTGCATGCGGTCAATGATCTTCGACTAGTCACCTAGCATTTGTTCCTGCTCTTGAATTCTGATCTCGTGATCCTAAATTGTTTTTCTCAATTCATCTTACTGTTGCGACTGTTGATGCAGTAAGGTCTCTGACTGGTAATTCGATCACCCTCAGAATTACCAGACATTCCCTCTTTATATTCTTCAATCAAAGATAATCAACTTTTGCTCGAGAATCTCTTCCCAAGGATACCCAGGTTGGCGGGAAAGCGATATAGCTGTTACGCTCCTGTGCAGAGGTTTGTAGTGCAAACATGTCCATAATCATGAAGCAATACTCACTCACCTTATTATTGATTTCCTCGGCATCCAAAAGTTCGACTGGACTCTTGGAGGTTTTTATGCGCGTCCGAACTTTAGCTGGGCTCCGAGAAAGAGTAGAGGCAGTTGAAGGGGAACCTGAGGAATTCGAACATTCTCGACGTTCCAGCTTTGTGCGGCTCGCCGTCGCCACAAACGCCTGACTGTATCGAAGCCCGAATATTTCAGGAGTAAGGGGCATGCTGCCAGCGCCAGGCCTCCCCGAGTCTTGCGTTCAATGTCAGATTCAGACTTTAAGTGAGGCTCTCCGACTTGGTAGAGACCAATAAAATATCCCTCCGGCCTGCCTGCAACACCGGCATGTAATATAACACATTGCACCTCGGTGAGCCCATCTGCTCATCTATCATCAAGCCCAGATGGTGGATGAGGAGGAATCGAAAATGCGAGCCACAGAAAGCCACGCGCTACTTACGGATTGATGCAGCGTTTCGAATATTGGTGGCGTGGCGGGTAGGATTTGAGCTGGTTGAGAGAAGGGTGCATCAGCTGAGAGAAAGCACCACGAAAATACCAAGACCAATCAACGATGAACTTTGAATGGAAATAAATGAACTTGGGTTAAAGAATTAACCGACAAAGTAATCCAAGAAAAAAAAAAAAAAAAAATTAAA